GATATCACGCTTAACTCAATTCGTCCGTGGTTCTGCTGCTACCATTTTGTTCGTAAGGAAACATTAAATCTACAGTACTTGAAAGAACTGCCTACTAACAGTGCTCCCCTAATAGCTACAACCTAGGTCTTGTTGTCCTAGACATCATTCCCTTTCCTGTCGCTTCAGAATGAGTAAGCTAACAAAAAGAAGGGGAGTAGTAGACTACTTGTTTCAATGCAGCCCATCATTCTTTAATACTTGTTTTAACACCATGCTTCTGCTTCTGCATCTGCATTTCCAGAGAGAGGCCGCATGCACCTAATCGGCGTCTCCACATTCGCCCGGGATGAGATGCGCATACACGTGCGCACACAGCAGCATCATTGTGTTGCCACAAGCCAATTTATTGCAATTATAGTCATTACTTCTTTCCCTCTCCTCACTGAAAGACGCGCACGATGAGCTGCTGGCTGTATCAGGCGAAAAAGTTGACACACCAATGCATGCATGCACACACACACACACACACACACACACACACGAATGCACGTGCGGCCACACCACCAACGTGGTAACTCTCACCATTGATTGGTTGAGACACGTCGAGGCGACCACTATGCAGCCAGATGATAGGCTGACACATCTGCTGCCTATTGGCTCGTGGATATGATAAATCAACTGGCGGTTCGGAGGATAGTCATCGCGTTCTGCTGCTTTCTCGTGTCCGTTAATTTCGTGTCATCGTGCCCCACTTCCCTGCTTCACAGTTAACGTCTGATAAATATTCATCATTATTCAATTTTGTACTTGAAGTCGTTTTATCAAGTTTGACGTTGTCGTGCATTTTATTGAAGGCAATATCTCGCAATGAATCTACCAGGTTGGTTGCGATGGCTCCTAACGTACAGGAAACTCCTCTTCACCATCCTCTACCCCATCATTCTCAGTCCCATCCTCATTGTCAACCCGTCATCAGTAAGTCATTGGATGTGTACTTGCGTTAGTCTGGTGTTTTCGGTGAGAATGAGACAAGTATTCGCCACATTGTGTCTTGCTTACAGGAGGCGAAAGGAGCTTACACGCTCTTATTGATGGCTGGCTACTGGATAACTGAGTCGATTTCCATTTACGTCACAGCCATGTTGCCACTTCTGATGGGACCTCTGATGGGCATTATTGCCTCCAAGGCAGCCTCTGCTGCCTATATGCGCGTGAGTGCCTCATTCTCTGAAAACACCACTCCTTGCGAATTGTATTGGATATGTTCTCTTGTGCACACTTTAGAACGCCTCCATGCTCTTCATCCAAGGTGCCTTCTTGGCTGTCGCGGCCGAGCACCGCAATATTCATCGTCGTATCAGCGCTGCCGTTCTTAGGATCATGGGCGGCGATCCCAGACTGTGAGTTATCCATTCCTTTACTCTACATTTTAATGCCTGAAAATGAACCTTTTGGCGATCACTACAGTTGGTTGTTTTAGTCTCCTTCTGGGTCTCATGCTACCAACGTGGTTCTTGTCCATGTGGATGAGTAACACGGCCGCAACCATCATGATGCTCACCACCGTCGAGGCTCTGATGTCACGTCTGGAGTCTTTAAAACCCAGTGAGTAACGTCTTTTCTCCCCTCCTTCTATGGTTCAAGCCACGATAGTGAACACCTAGGAGGACTGCTAATCCGTCACACGCAGACACACATGTCACGTTTGGGTTGTGTGACCGGAAAGTATGTGGAGTTGCAGTGTCTCATTTTCATATCCATGCTTGTTTTACATTTCAGAGAAAAGTGGTGAGTTCGCTCTCCATCGTTGTTAACGTACGCTTTGCCTTCTCAGCATGCTTCTGCGTGGAGAATGCCCTTGTTGTTAAAGTTGCAATTATTGAGATGTTTTCCGTTTATTTGTGTATGATTGAATCCTTGGGATTCGCTGCAGCCTTTCGCCCTATTGGGCAATTATTTTGCACTCGTCCGTGAACTAAAACAGCTCGATTTATCGGAAATCGATCTGGTGCTGCTTTGTGTGTTGTCCAATCACGTTGTTATACAATCGAGTTGCCTAAAGTCGTCGTTTTTTACATCTTTGTTTAGATGTAGAGGAGGATGCTGCTCCTGCAAAAAGTAAGTGCTATTGTAATGGAAGGAGGCTGAGCTCCTAAATTAGATTTTGGTTTGAATTGGATACTGTTCGCCATGCAGTGAAGAAAACGAGGCTGACGGTGAGGCTTGGAACACCGGTGACAGCAATGAAAGTGTTACAGTCAAGTCTGGTGGTGGTAGTGACGGAGACGACTTGCAGAAGTTGGGCTGCTGCTTCTCGCTCGGCATTGCCTTCGCCTCCAGCTGCGGTGGTATGGGCACTGTTATTGGCACACCAACTAACGTTGTCCTCTTCGGTCTCGTCAGCGAGTAAGTAGCGTGCGCCCCTCTGTTGTGTGCTGCCGGTCTTCTAGTTTGATTTTCGTGTGTTTGCAGTCGCTATGGCTTCGATACTGGGCTCACCTTCGGCTCGTGGGCCGCCTACGGTATGCCGCTCTCACTAATTCTCTTGATCTGCGTCTGGGTCATCCTCGGTGTCATTTTTATCGGTCCAAAGTGAGCTCATCTCCAATGGTTTGTGCTTGCTGTGTGCCTAGATATCACTGGCATTGAATTGTTTGCGTTACACTTACCACAGGAAGTTCTTCAGATGTCGTGGCCGCGACGAGTCGCGCGAGGCGGCTATTCGGCAAATCTTGGAGGAAGAAAAAGGTCTCTAGGTCCGGTTGGGTGAGTGTGGATATCTAAACACGTGGACTCCTTATTGTGCCTTTGGTAAAGCACTCTTGCCTCTGCTTGCAGATGGGCTGACGGCTCGGCCATGGCAATACTGGCGTTGGTCATTCTCCTCTGGATCTCCCGGAAACCCGGTGTCGACGGCTGGTCTGCTATTGTGCCATTCAAAACTTCTCCCACTGGCAAAAGAATCGAGTGAGTTCTGCCCCATGACCTGCGTTTTGGTGCGTGTTTTGCGATGGTTGACGAGACTGTCCTTCTTCTACTTCTTTCTGCAGACTGACAACCGACACCCAGCCAGCTGTTCTGGGCTCTATTCTTATTTGCATCTGGCCCGCATACAACCCTTTCCGTAGAAGGCGTCCTGATCGTATGTTTGATCATTTACCGATACATGATTGCCTGTTGATATTGATGAAGGCATCACGGTTGAGTAGTAGTCTTTTCATGGGTTGCTTCGCTTTGTTGTAGAGCCCCCGGTTGATGCTTTGGAGACCGTTCTTCCATGGAAGGTCGCTCAATCGCGTTGTCCGTGGCAGGTTCTTCTCCTCATCGGTGGTGGTTTCTGTCTCTCCGACATCTGTAATGTAAGCCTTGTCTTCTCATGCTCTGTTTACGGTCTTCATGGACGTTGGCGTTGCCTTTCACTGCCGATTTGTGTAGGTCTCTGGTCTCTCGACTCGCGTGGGTCAGTATATGCTGGGTCTGAAGTCTCTTCCACCAGTTGTTCTTATTTTGGTGTTCGGCCTCTTGTGCATTACTCATGACCAACTTCGTCGCCAACGTGGCCACTGCTACCGTGCTTCTACCCATCATGTTCGAATTGGTAATTTAAATTTCGGAAATTCTGCCAATTGCTCAACTATATTTAATACACTGCTTTATTTTTATTCTTAGTGTGAGAACCTCAAGATTCACCCGTTCTATATCGGTTTACCGGTGCAATCTCTGCTAGCATGGCATTCATACTGCCGGCCGGGACCCCAGCTAACGCCATCGTCTACAGCAAGGGTCGCATCAACATCAATCAGATGGTCGGTAATTCTTTTCGTTTTAGGAGGATCGCGTTTGTGGACGTAGTGCTCATTTCATTTTTGTGCACCTCTAGATGCTTGCGGG